CGGGGGTGGGGAGGGGTTGCAGGAGGCAGAAAAACTGCTTTTACTCCTGTTTTACTGCAAAAACTCAGAGTCATATGACCTTTGTACATAAATGTTTACATGTAACAGGGTATGTATTTTAAACACACATTTACATACATTTTAGGTGTATTATACACGGTTCAGTGCTTCTACTTAAGTGGGCGGGTGTTTCCATCTCACTTCGTCATAATAACGTCTCCAAACCCGCTCTTTATTCTGCTCTACTTTGGAAAAAATGAAAATTAAACACCACTGTCTCACACCTTTTTGTAACTTGGTTAGTGCCCACTGAGATTTCCATCTTCTTTACTTGATTTTGTATCATTTGTATTGTAGTTTTTTGAGTTAAAAACTGTATGTATTGTATGTGAAGTGAATGGACTTGTGCCGTGATCAGCTGTAAACAGCTGTAGTTATGACGTTATTCCTTCATATGAATACAGTCAAGTGAGTGTATCTATATATATCATACCCAGCAAGCATTAACAATAACATACTCCACATGTTCATACAGTAGTCAACATTAATCTGTTCTGTTCATCGATATGATGTTTCACTGATTTGTTATTTACACTGAACTTGGCGACGTCTCCTGTTGCTTTTTAAACCTTCTGGTTTAAACAAACTCTTCACACGTTACTGATGCGAACACTCAGAGGAGCGTCCCTGACTCGACCTCGGTCCTCTCCTCGTTGTTCCCTGTAGCTCTGCTCCAGACGAATCTTCTCTGGATCAGTCACCTCAGGTACAGTCCCCCCTCCATTGCTCTGGTACCCATGCTGGGGGCTGGATGGCTTAAAAATGGGGGCGGTCTTGGTCTTGGCCACTTTGTCGAAGAAGGCAAAGTCTGCTACATATTTCCCTGAGGGAGACAGGGAAACTACAGGGGGAAACTCATAACCCCAGAGGATCTCATCTGGCAGGTAGGAGGTGCGAACCTGACAGGTGGCAGAGGTTGGCTCCACGGTGGCGCTCATGATCACCAGCAACTCAAAGTCAGCCAATTCTGGATCAGTCCAGCCACCACCTGAAGAAGGTACATGCAATGGAAAGAAATGTCAGAATATCCTTAGGACAAAATGGATGAAAAAAAGTTATAAAGATATTTCACTTAAAGACTCACAGTAAAGGGTTTTTAACCACTAGTAGTGCTCTTAATTTAGATTCTTAACTTCTTCACTTCTATTTAGTACATGGAGATCTGCCAGGCCCGGGAGCCATCAACAGTCCCCTTCGAGGCCTTCCCCAAACCGCAGCTTTATAGCCATTTAATTCCTGGAAGGACATCACCCATGGTCTGGTTGGGAATCAGAGACCATGTTGTTTCATTTCACATTTCCTTTTTTCAGATGACACTTGTGGAAGAACTGAGACAGTTTTGTTGCGTTTTCAGTGAAACAAAACTATGAAAACTGTCTCTGCTGGAAGTACTGTTAAAATTCTCCAAATGATCATCTGTTTTTAAAAAGCTGGGTTTATTTAGGCTCTATTTAATAGGTGATCAATAAATAACTATAATGTGGCTCATGAACTAAAATGAGTTTGAGACCCCTGAAGAATGTGACATAGTTACTACATTAACAAATACAGCATCAAGCAACATGTAAAACATCAAGCTAGTGGCTTCATTTTTTTTAACGTCTTTTTTTAATCTTCTGACTTCACAACCAAAAAGAGAAAATTTAATTCTGCATAAATTCAATTTTTGTAAACCTAGTCATGACATTTCTCAGAAACTGAAGCTATTTTTAACAGTTCATTACTAGGCTTATTAACTTACTACAATTTGTGGAAAGCAGGCCTATTGTTAAAGCCTCCACCTACACCAGAAAGGGATGATGTTTTTCTCTATAACACAAGTGTTGCTGAAAGAATTTGCCTTTTCCTACCAGCACCTTGGAAGGAGGTAAAATTATGCTAGAAACCTTCAGGGTCAGATGTTTGTATGACAGAGGAATGAGACACAAAGATCAAAGAAATCATTCTGATGCAGTTTGGGACACCACCCACCGAGTCTACTGCTCTCATCGCCAAACTTACCCTTGGCTGCCCAAGCTCTCAAGGGACTGTTGTCATCGATGACATGGTAGAAGGTAAGGGGCAGGATGAGGAAGGGGCTGTCACTGGAAGTGTCCACTTGAAAGGGAACATTTCTCTGATCCAGACGAACCGTCTCCCCTTCCTTGGTCAGAGACGTCTGGAGCAGTTTTCCAGTCACCTGATAGGAATATTGTGCACATGTTGCTTTAGCTCAGCTGGTTCCCAGTTTGACAAATTTCTCATTCACACTAATCTATGACCTCTAAACCTATTTTTATTGTCTAGTCTTTACAAGTATGGAGTGTGTTACGGCTGTCGTCGTGGGCTGGGGTTCTGATATATAAATGTGACTGTGCAGGTGTGCCTCCAGGAGTGGTGGATCCTGAAGATGGTGTGCCCGGATTGGATGATAATCTGGAGGCGGGGTATAAGACAGCACGGTTGAGGATGGCAATCCATCCATCCTCGGTTTTACCCTCAACCAGCTGGGGTTGCGACATGCCCTGTGCTGTTTTGTGAATCCAGGAGGAAGTAGGGGTGGACCGCCTTTGCAGTTGGGCACAGTTTTTTCATGTTTTGTTAGTCAGGGAAGTAAGTGATTGTCGTTTGGTCGTGTTTCTTTATGGCTAGGCAAGCAGTCGCGCCTCTGAGTTAGTTTCCTTTTGTTTGTTATTTTGGCATAGGTCCACCCCGAAGCCTGAGTGACTCCTGTGAAACCCATTTTTGTTTCGTTCTTGTAAATAAACCATCTCTTATTTTAACTTATGGTGTGATGTGCTGCTTGGGGTCTAACTGGGGGTGGATCATTCCTCTTGTTGCGGTCGGGTCCGCTAGACCGGCCGTAACAAGTGGAACTTTTCCCAGCTACTGTATACTTACAGTATCTGCATGCATACTTGCCTGACACCCAATCAGGAGACTTTTGCGCATGTTGGCCACCCGGATCATGAGGCAGGGTCGGCCCTCGTGGGCGGACACCACAGCATGTTGGCTAAACTTCACTGTCTCACCGCGCTTCTTTGGCCGGGCAACCTGATCAGGAGGAACTTGGTCAGAGTCATCTTTGTTAATGATTATGTAATAAAAACTATTGAGTAAACCTGCAGCTCACATGTACACTGCAGTGTTGTTTTAGTCAAGACAACTTCTGCATTTTTTTTTTAAAAAAAAGTTTTCAAAACACAAATTAAGACCTGCATGACTTTGTTGATACAAGGCACTTGTTTCTTTTCATTGCATTTTACATGGATTTTTCATGTATTGGCTACCTTGGCCAGAAAGGTACCGGTGATGAAGATTTCCATGAGCATGGTGATAACCAGTTGAACTATGAGAAGGATTATGGCAGCTGGACATTCCTCAGTGATGCAGCGAAAACCGTATCCAATGGTTGTTTGGGACTCCAGGGAGAAGAGGAAAGCCCCCGTTAGCGTCTGCATCTGCATCACACAGGGCGTGTGGTTTGATGGAGGGTCAAACTCTGGAGGAACATGTTT